ATAACACTCCTAATAATATGTCATAATGTAAAATGGAGTTTTGTGTCATGTATAATTTCATTCCATAATGAAACTGAAATGGTGAAATTAATATTTCTGAAAAGAAAAACGCTGTATTTCATATTTTCATATTTTTTCCCATATAAATGTATATCATTTTGCTAAAAAGGCAGTTTTTTTCCAATGAAAAATTGTTAACATAAGAAGTACTGGACCAATGGTCTCTCTAGCCTAGCATCCTGTCTTTGACAGTGGCAAGTAATAGCTGCTTTAGTAGAAGAGTATATGTGCAGGGCATGTCTCATCTTGTGTAAACCATTCCCTGTCATACCATCCCTGGCATCAACTGTTATTGGTTTAGAGTTGCCAAAGGACACATCCCTGACTATTTTATTTAATAGCTCTCAATGGACCTGTCTTCCATAAATCTGTCTAATCCCTTCTATCTGCCTCTATAACCTCCTGTGGCAGAGTTCCACAAGTTACTAGGCCTGTGCGAAGCTTCAATCCCTGATTCAATTTGGCAGAGATTCGGCCCAATTTGGTGGCCGAATCTCCAAATCCAATTCAAATCAGAGGACCCTTTAATCTCTCTGAATCAAATCGGAACCCTCCAAATTGACTCGGAAAGATTCAGAGATTTAGACACAGACACAGCTTTAAATGTTTTTTCTACATACCTTTAGGTGGCAGGTGGCTTGTGAATGCTGCGATGTTGGGGTGCATGGAGTGTCCTACAGAAGCGCGGGGAGGCTCCCCAGCGTGATCAGCAGCAGACCCAGAAGTGGACCAGAAGCACTTCTGGTCCACTTCTGGGTCCACTGGGGAGTGTGCGGGGGGCCCCCCTTCTCCCCCAACTTGGCAACTGGTGCCTCCTAGGTCTGGCGGGGGGGCACCCATGGTCCCCCTGTGGCTGATCGCTGAGCCGGGGAGGTGCGGAGCTGTCCCCAGCGTGCTCCTCGGTGAACACAGGAGGGGGACTTCCAATCCACTTCTGGGTTCACCACCGAGCACATGGAGGGCCCTCCCCCACATTCCTGTGGGACACTCCATGCCCCCCAGCATCACAGCATTCACAAGCTGCACTTGTACCTTGAGGTATGTAGAAAAAAGATTTAAAACTGTGTCTGTCTGAATTGCTGATTCTCTGAATCAGCATCGAATCTTCAGATTCAGATTCAGCTGAATCAAATCAGGGACAGTGATCTGAATTAACAAATTGAATCACTGTCCCTGCTTCGGGCTGAATCCAAATCTGAATCGAATAGGGCCTGCTTCACATACACCTACAAGTTACTAAACATCATGTAAGAAAAAAATAATTCCTTTCTTTGTTTTAAACTGGTCTGCTAATTTCAGTGAGTGCCTCCTACTTCTAGTATTTTGGGACTTGGTGAATAAAAGTTCTTTATTAACTTTATCTACACTAGTGTTTCCTCAATTTTTGATACTTGGGACACATTTTTTTTTTCTGGATTAAAATTGGCAACACTTCACTCGCTGATCTGTGGGCCAGATCCAGCCTGTGGGTCAGAGCCTACACGTGACATCATGTAGCCAGGGCCCCATCCTGCTACACAGGACTGTCTGATCCAGCCTGTTTTTTGTGGCACACTTCCACTGATCTTTCTGCACACTAGTTTGCCACAGCACTTCCTTTGGGAATCACTGATTTACACACTTCATGAGTTTATAGACCTCTATCATATCCCCCCTCAGCCTTCTCCTTTCAGACTTAAGACCCATAGCCTTTTTAGTTTCTCCTGATGGAGGAGCTTCTCTATATCCCTTGATCATCCACAGGTTTTCATAGATTTCATAGACATTAGAGCTGGAAGGGACC